ACCCACCACCCACCACCCACCCACACACACATATATATATACCCACACCACCACCACCCACCCACCCACCCACCACACACACACACACATATATATATATATATATATGAGTATACGCTTAGTTCATTACATGTGATTTCCTGCTACGGGGCGAGGGTAGACTCACCAGATATATCGCGTATTGGCGTAGAAATATGTGCACAGCATTCGTCTTGCACGTCGATAGTACATTGGCTGCGCGGCTGAACTCGTTCGCTCTGAATAGGCATTTTCCCAACTGATAAAATAGGGGGTAGTCATTAGAGAAAAATAATTAGATTCAGATGATAGATGGGACATAATGATAGCTGTGCGCAAATCATTAATCATCAAATAAGGGGTAGTTATTGGAGAAAGTGACTGCTAGAATAGGGGGTAGTCATTAGAGAAAGATAATTAGATTCAAATGATAGATGGGACATAATGATAGCTGTGCGCAAGTCATCAATTGTCAAATAGGGGTTAGTCATTGGAGATCGACACTGTTAAAATAGGGGGTACTCAACGGATATTAACAACTAGCAACCATATCGGACGAAACGCTCGCGTTGAATACACGTTCGCCCAACTGTCACACTAAACAGTGATCAACACACATACCATATCATAGTATATCACTACGACTACCAAGCCATTACATGAATGCACGGTCATCCGATAGCCTAGACAGCAGACACGAACTGAAGCACCCGACCGTACCACATATCATATCATATCATATCATATCACTACGACTACCAAGCCATACCATGAATGCACGGTCATCCGATAGCCTAGACAGCAGACACGAACTAACGCACCCGACCATACCACATCATATCATATCATATCACTACGACTACCAAGCCACACCATGAATGCACGGTCATCCGATAGCCTAGACAGCAGACACGAACTAACGCATCCGACCATACCACATATCATATCATATCATATCATATAAAATCATATCATATCACTACGAGTACCATGTCATACCATGAATGCACGGTCATCCGATAACCTAGACAGCAGACACGAACTAAAGCACCCGACCATACCACATCATATCATATCATATCACTACGACTACCAAGCCATACCATGAATGCACGGTCATCCGATAGCCTAGACAGCAGACACGAACTAGCGCACCCGATTGTACCACATATCATATCATATCATATCATATCACTACGACTACCAAGCCATACCATACCATATCATATCACTACGACTACCAAGCCATACCATGAATGCACGGTCATCCGATAGCCTAGACAGCATATCGTCCCCAAGTGGCGGCCTGGCAGGGGGTCTGTTGGGTTTTAGGGTTTCCAGGCTTGCCCTCAAATCCGCTTCATCTATCTCGACACAGGTCACCAGCTCACATAGCCTGCGGAGGGGTGCAGTACACATGAAGGTAGGTTATGCCCTACAGACAAGCTGGACGTGTGGGAGAATGACATGGACCATGGATAGGTATGAAGGTATACTAATGATGTTAACATATAGGAGCTAGGGACAGGGGCAGAGGTCCGACTACTGTAGAAATACAGAGTGAAATCAGCGCAGTACGGCCGATTTTTTTTATTACAAAACCTGCTAGTAGCACATATATATAAATGACGACCAGCACAACAAAGAGCCACAGATACAAATACATACTATGTATGTAGTGCTCGTGTACGCGTGCCTATATGTACGATCTAGTACACACACACACACACACACACACACACACATATATATATATAATGTG